AAGAACTATATTTTTCTTAGCTTATATATTCATAAAGATACTAGATAGAAACACGAAACAACATAATTTAGTCCCCTGGGGGGTGGGCAGCTGGACCTGGAGAGTTGGGTGACAGGATGGATGAGAAATATTTTGTTTCATTATGTACCTTTTTGTATTTGTGTTTGACCCACATAAATGTATAGATAGGTAGATAGAGAGGTAGAGGTATATATAAAGTATATACTGCATGCACACTAAAAAGTCATATAGCTGGTAGGAGCAGAACATCTAAGCTTTATAGTGAACATGCTCATCAGAGAATTTTTGGGTGACAATTTCATTTTCTCTGTAGCTTTGGGGTGAAAAAGATTAGATCTGCTTAATAGCTATGTTTCCTTTTGTAAATTAATAATTTACCCTTCAGGTTTATATTCCAGTCTCATGGTTACCATAAACCAGTCTTTCTCACATCTAGCATCACTGAACAGCTGAGAGCCTGAACTGAAAAGGTGAAGCCTCTACTCTCTGCAGTGTCGTGACAATAAGTTCAGGTCCCCTGTGGGACCCTGAATCACAGCCTTTTTCAGGCGATGTCCTTGTTGTCTCCTTGTGCGTTTATTCACATGACAATTTCCCATTTGAAATGAAAATATTAAGATACAAAGCTCTTCATCCAGTAACTTGATTCTATCCTTTACATCTTAGAGAGAATGACTCTAGGCATAGCAATAGGCGTCCACAGAGACCTGCTGCCTCAGATTAGTTTCAATTTGTCTTTTTTTACATCAAGAATCCAGTGTGTGTTTTGCTCCCTATTTCTCTTGTGGTTTCTTGGTTTAAAGTTAATGGGTCTGGGGAGGTGTCAAGTCATATCGGACTGTCTCAATGCAAGGCTATCAGATGCAGAAACGGCCCCAGCTAGATTTGGGACTCTGTTTTATTTATTTTTCTATCTTCATATCTTCATGCTGTCACCCACCCTGCGTGAACTGCTTCCTGGCTTGCCTTCAGCTGTGAAACAGGGTTAATAAAACACTGACCCACCTACCAGAACAGTCAGGAGAAAGAGCTGATAAAATCAGTGTTGCCAAAACCTGCAAACACATGTGCATAACTGCTGCAAAGGCCGATTTTAAACACCTCGAGAAGAATATAAGTCTGGGACTTGAAGGGTTCAGAAAATGGGAGAAATGGATTGTTAGGGATGCTCCTGGGAAGCTTTTGGGGGACCTGTGGCTTCTTTGCTGTCTCCAAGAGACCGAGGTTGGAAAGGGATCTCTACAGTTTTGGAGGGAGCCCCCAGTACCTCCCCTGGGGGAAGACAAGTAAGAAACTTCCTCCTAGGCCTCTCAGAGCTCTTTACATTTTTATTGTTTTGCTTGAAAAGAGAAAACTTAAGCAGAGAAATCAGGGTAATGGGCAACCAAATGCACCTAGCAGGGAGCCTGAGCATGTGGACATGTCCACAAATATTTGTTGAGTGATGAAAAGAGGCTAATTACTAGTGGGGCTCCAGACAGGATTCCAAGATTCTCAGATGTAAACAGATGGAAGGGTCAGCTAACTCCACATTCTCTGGAAGAGGAAACAGGACTAGAAAGATAAAGGATTCCCTTCAAGCTTGCAAGGCTAGTTGCTGATAAGAGCCAGCCAAAGCCCTGGATTTCTAGGTTGGCCAGAGATCCTGCCTTCCGAGCAAGTGACCTTCTGAAAAAACATAGTTTGGTGATAGGGCCTTGGGGCCTGGTCAGCAAGTTGAGATCTACTTGACAAGGGACTCCTGACAGTCCCCAGTCTCTGATTCAGACAGGATATTCATATGTGGATCTCAGAGGTATGCAGAAATGAAGCAGTAGCCAGAGGGCTCTAGATTTAGTTCCAGAGTCCATGCTCTTTCATAATGGCAATCTGGGTGGGAGATGGAAAGGAAGGGCCCAAGAAGGCAGCTTGAAAGGTGCTCATGCTCCCTCTCTCAAAAATTCTACTGGGTTCTTTTCATATTTAAGAAAGAAAACATTGAGAGAACACAGAGCACCAAGGACTTGAAACCCAAAGTACTTTCTGTGCCTACAAATCACGTCAAGCAGATTTTGAGAACTAGACAAATATGAACTAAAGAAGTGGGAGTGGGGGAGGATTGCAGAAATGTTCAGGCAAGAGCAATTCAACAGGTTTTGGTGGCAAACAGATTACCAAACTATTTACAGACAGCTTTGGAATCTCTCTCTCTCTCTCTCTCTCTCTCCAAAATAAAACCCAAATGTCTAGCCCTTTCTAACTTCTCTAGCTATACTTCTTGCTACAACCTCCCATATGCCCTATTTGCTAATCACTTGTTCAGTGGATATTTATTGTGCACCAATATATCCCAGGCAATAGGCAAATAAATAAGATTATGGTGTGTTAGATGAATTAATTAATTCATATTATAGACAAAAAGGGGGTCTAGGGAAAGTAACCTCACAGGGTGAACTGGGCAGGTCATGGTGGGTCACCCTGCCCCAGGCATATAATTTCTTTTAGTAAAAGGTTTGTCTTTGCCTTAAGCAAGCCCTGCCCATTGTTTCTGTGCATCTAGGTTAACACACCTTTTAAATAAGAGTAACCACCCTCAAGAGAGCACATACTCTTGTTAACTATCCTGTAATCCAATCACTGTCTTGCTTTCTCCCACTTTCAGGTAATCTTCCTTACTGTCCCTCCTTATTTCCAAATGCATAAAAAGAAACTGCCAAACCATCATTCTCCATATAGCTCTTGAGATCTTACTTCCAGGCAATTGTTGCCGCTTTGGCTCAAATAAAATCTTATAGAAGTTCTTTACAGGTCTGGACTTTTCTTACATCAACAATATATTCCTATGCGATGGCATGAGCATGTAGAAAGTATTCTTTTTTTTTTTTTAAAGAGTTTTATTGGGGAATTGGGGGGATGGGAACAGTGCTGGGGAATTGGGAGAAGGGGAACAGACAAGTTGCTGTCCTTTTGTTCTTCATTCTAGTTGTGGAGGACGTTGCTTCACTGGCCCAAGTTGGCACCATCATTGCGCTCTTCCCGGGTGAGGCAGATCAGTCGCTGGCTTCTGGACTGCGGCTGCTAGCCGCTCACGCTGGCTGCTGGCTACATACGGTAGCCCATGGCAACCCACTGCCACAGGGGCTGCAGCCTACGCCTTCACGGATGACTCACAGCAGCCCAGCTCCAGGTTGAGCTGTTGTTCAGCATCTTAGCTGTGGAGGGCAGTGTCACTGGCCCTCATATGTGGGATCCGAACCGGGGCCCTCTGGCATCCCAAGCCAGTTCGTAACCATCACGCCACTCGGCCGGCCCTTGAGGTCATGATTTTATATGCTTTTTGCATTCATTCACTAGACAAATATTCATGGAGTGCCTTATATATTCAGTCACCATACAGGGCTGAAAAAACAGACCTGGTCCCTGTCCTCCGGAAGTTTGAAAATATTAAATGAACAAATACCGAATTACAAATTCTGATGTGTATTTTGAAAGACAGAAAGCACAGGGCCCTGAGTGTTAATTGGGGAACTGCTGTGTGTCTTTGGAATGCATTCTTCTCTTCACACTTAAGGGTCTTTGTTCACACTTCAATGCTGAGGTACTTTTTTTTGACAGTGTACTCTATCGAAATCCTAATATACCGAAAAGCTTAAATGTCGCCTGCTTTAGGATGCTATCTATGTCAGGTCCTCCATTTAGAATGTACTTACTCTCCTGGCACATTGCTTTCAAGTCTCTTGTAAAACCCTATTCACTCATCCAAGTGTATACCTGTTGTACAGGGACCAACTGTCCCAGTTTGTCTGGACTTGAAGGGTTTGCTGGGATAAGTTGGTCACCCTGTTGATATGTCTGTCTTCCCCCATTACATCCAACACTCCAGGAGGGAAGGCAGGTTTCTTGTATCTATTCAGGCAATGACTTGCACATAGAAATAGTGATAGTATTAACAACAACAACAATAGTTTACATTTCAGTATTGACTACATTCCAGGCTCTGTGTTTAACCCCTTATGACAACCAAATGAATCAAGTAGGTCATTTTCCCCTTCTATAAAGAAATTAAAGCTAAACCAGTTAAGCCAGGATTTGAGAGAGTGGGACAAAAGGAGAGAGTACCTAATCACACTCATGCTAACATAGCAGTTCTCAAACATTTTGATCTCAGGACCCCTTTACACTCTTAAAAATTTTTAAAGATTCCCCCTTCCCAACTTTTATGTGAACTATGTATACTGATAGTAATTAATAGATTTAAAAATGAGAATTTAAAATACATTTATTCATGATTTTACATAAACATTAATGCATATTAATGTTAATATTTTGTAAATGAAAAATAATTGTATTAAAAAAAACCGTGGGAAAAGATCTCTTTAATGTCTAGCTTAATAGAAAACCGCTGAATTCTCACACCTGCTTTTACCATTCAATCTGTTACAATATATATTATGTAGCTTCTGGAAAACTCCACCGTACACTGATGAGAGAAAGAAAGTGAAAAAGGCAAATAACGTCTTATCAAATTGTTTTGCCTTCAGAAACCCCTTGAAAGGGTTGTGGAGACTCTCTGGCGTCCCTGGACACGTTAGCAGGCGCTGCTGTACTCTATGAAACAATAAATCTCACATTCAGACTTTTCATTGCCTGTATGGCAGGTTTGCACAAATGTTGGATTTTGGTTTTTAGACATTCTGAGCCTTGCCAGGAACACCAGCGAGGAGACAGGGAAGACAGCATGCGCCTCATCTGGGAAAAACCGTAATTTGCGAGTTTTTCCTGTGTTATCCACGCGTTACTCGATTTTGGACTACAACTCCCGGCCCAGCTTGCAGCAGGGGGCGTGTGTCCGCAGCCGCGACGAAGCGTGTGAGACCCAAACCGAGTGACGGAAGTGGAGGGGGCGTGCCAGTTTGGTAGGGACGGTGCCGCAATTGGAGGAGCCTGGAGTAGGGGCCGGGGCCAGTGTTTGGGTCAGCCAATGATTTACGGTAAGGCGGAAGAAGGGAACGGGGCGTGGCAGGGCTCACTCGCGGGCTGCGTGGGGCTTACAGAGCCCTGGTACGCGGGTTTCGGGGGCGGGAACGCGCGGTTCTGGGACCCGGGCCGCCGGGTGCGGGAGATGGCTGCGCGATGGAGCAGCGAGAACGTGGTGGTGGAGTTTCGCGACTCTCAGGTGAGCTGGCTTCCAAATGGAGTCTTCTGGGCATGCGCCCTCTCCGGTTCCCTTCCCCCACGCTGCCGGGTCCGCCTTAGGGGCGGCGGGGCGATCTCCCAGCCTGGGCTAGGCTCTTGGGTAAGAGGGTGACCCGGAGCTGTCAGACCCAAGCGGAAGAGGGGGACCCTTGACGACCGTTGGGGGCGGTTGGGAAGGGCGCCGACAGGGTTTCGGGGTTCCTGCGGGGGTACGGAGAATGGTGTGTACTTTGGAATACAGAAGTGCAGAGATTGCGCGCGAGTGAGTGCTGAGGGGAGGCTTCCAAACTCGGGTGGTGAGCGAGGGGGTGTTTGCTCTCGAAGGTCGGGGGTTGCGCGATTGGTGACTTCGGGCAAGTCTCAGAACTTCTCTGAGCCTCACAGCTGTGTGGACTTGACGCTGCCTCACTGGACTTTGGGGTGGATTCGATTAAACCCCCCCCCCAAAAAAAAAGCCTGTATGCATAATGTCTGGTTCAGCGCCTAAGCTTTTACGTGGTTGCTGCTGCTACAATAGTGGAAAATACCGTATTGCTGGGTTCGAATCCCGGCTCAGCCCCTAGGCTGTCATCACTCTGCGCATTAGTTTGCTCACCTTTAAGAAAGTGCGAATCGTACCTACCTCATAGGGTTGGCTTGAGAATTTTATGAGGTCATACATTTAGAATGTGTGGTACAGTGACAGGCACATGGTAAGCCTCAAGGAACGTTAGCACTTACTAGGGATTTTTACCATTTTTAAATTTCCTGTCTCCCATATGCCAGGCCTCGTGCCAAGTGATTTATCTATATTTTTCTAATTCATGAAAGAACCGCGCAAAATAAGTAGATGTTATCCCTTTTTTTCCAAACGGGGAAGCTGATCCCAGTTTGGCTAATCACTAGTGACCTGGCCAAGGCCTCGCCTTCTGTGGCTGCACTGGGATTTGCACTGAGGCATCTGGCCCCAGGGCGCTTGTTGGCCTCATTACACTACCTTGCTTCATTTTATATGAGCCTGTCATGCAGTCGTTCCTCAACAAATATCATGTCCCCCCAGCACCTTAGAACAGTGTCTTGGTGATTTTTTTTTTTTTTATGCAACAAATACAGAAGGTGCCAAAAAATGTGTACACATTTTAAGAAAGGAAAAAATATTAAAATTGTAATAATATATACCGATAACAAAAGATGAATACAAGTTATGTGTATACATTTTTTTGGCATCCCCGATATTTATGGAATACCTTCTGTGTGCCAGGCTTTCATTCATTCATTTATTCAACAAGGACTTATTGAGCTCTTGCCAGGTGCAGACTGTGCCAGGCAACGTGTTGATACTCAGATGATTTATACTGAAGGGAAATTGAGATTACAACAAGGGGGTGATGTGGTTTCTTCTTTCTAAAATCCCATCGTCTTTTGCTTTAAAGATAATGAGTGGAGGAGCCATCAACCGATTTGCTCTATGGTGTTCTCCATAGTTCCCATGGAGAATTTGAGCAGCAGCATTTGGATTAACGAATCCTGAGGCACTTTGCACTGTCAGCACCTTGTCTCTGATAGGCCTGCGCTCCCAGGGGAGGCGCCAGACTCCTAGGGATAAAGAACCACATTCCTGTTACCCTTCTTGTTAATTGCTTTCACTGGGGATTAAGAACAAAATCATGTATGAAGCCTGCTAATTTGGAAGCTACTAATCTGTAAACCCTTTAATTCTCATAGCAACACAGGTAGCCTCTTATAGAGAAATCATACTTCTCTACAGGAATGTAGTTGAAGAGACCTGCAGAGAGGGTGCTGACACATATATTAGGATGCTGTGAAGTAGTAGAAGAATAAACCGAAACAGCAGTTGCCAAAGTAAGAGGACAAAGTAAACTGGGTAATTTAACTGCCTTGTGGGAGTTTTTGTTTTTCTTTCTGATTTTTCTGTTCAGTTGGAATGGCACATCTTAGTATGAATTAGCATGGTTTTGTGGTTAATTCTGATGGTAATTGGTGGGGGAGTAGGGACCCTTATTTATTAACTGTTTAATTAATGTGGAAACAAGAGTTGAAACTCTTTAATATTGTCTTTCTGAACAATAAACTTTTAAAAACATCCTGCCTCTTTTTAAAAAATTAAAGCTTTTAGGTTTTGCAGTGAAAACCAGCCTTCAAGGTGAAACTTTTTTTTTTTTTTACACCTTAACAAGCATCATTTACTTTTTGAAACAATACCTTGAGCTGTTACTGTCACTGATTAATAGTGAAGAACCTGTGCAGCTTGGAATTTCTCTGATATGGTCCCTGGAATCAATGAGTGCTAACACTGTAAGAAAACTTAGAGATATTTTTCTAGGGCAACACCATTGAGTAGAATTTTTTGTGATGATGAAAATGTGGCTGTTGAACACATGAAATGGAGCTAGTACAACTGACAGATTATATTTTTAATTTAATCAAATTTTAATTGCCATTTAAGAAGCTACTTGTGGCTAGTGGCTATGGTATTGGAAAGTGTAGTGGAGCTTGGATAGTTTACACTCAAAGAGAGGTAAAATGGGGAAGGGGAACATAGTAAAAAATATTGTGAGTTTACAAGTTTACAGATGATTAGTAGAATTAGTGAGGTGATCACATTGTAAGATATAAAAATGCCAAATCACTATATTGTACACCTGAAACTAATATAACCAATATATGATTGTATACCAACTCTACTTAAATGAAAAAAGAATTCATCATGGCTGGAGTGTTGGGATGGAGATGGGAGGGGAGAGATGCGAGACGAGCTGTAGAAGTGATCAGAAGAGACGTTGTAAGAGATCTTTAATGGCACACTAAGGGTGTTGTAACCTTATCCTGAAGACTGTGGGGAGCCACTTAAAGGAGCGTGAGCAAGTAAGCAGTATAACCAGGCTTAAGTCCAACAACAGTCCTGAGGGTGGAGAGAGTGAGGCTGGTGAGAGGCTGGGGTACCCATCCAGTGAGGACTCATCATGAAGGCCTAAGCCGAGGCAGAGATAGGAAGAAATGGGTGGATTAGGAGCAGACCAGGAAAGGCGGGGAAGGGTGCCCCAAGTTAGGAGGAGTCCCAGGAAAGAGTCAGGCCATGGAAATCAAAGGTTTTAAGGAGGAGTAAGGTCAAGTAAAATATTGATAGCTAATAGAAAGTATCTACTGATTTCAGCAATATAAGGGGTCAGTGACAACCTTAGCTGGATTTTTTTTTTTTAAGATTTTTATTGGGGAATTGGGGGATGGGAACAGCGCTGGGGAATTGGGGGAAGGGGAACAGACAAGTTGCTGTCGTTTTGTTCTTCAGTCTAGTAGTGGAGGACGTTGCTTCACTGGCCCAAGTTGGCACCATCATTGCGCTCTTCCCGGGCGAGGCAGATCAGTTGCCGGCTTCTGGATGGCCGCTCACTGCGGCTGCTGGCCGCTCACGCTGGCTGCTGGCTACACACGGTAGCCCATGGCAACCTACTGCAGTAGGTGCTGCAGCCCACGCCGTCGCCAGCGACTCACAGCAGCCCAGCTCCAGGTTGAGCTGTTGTTCAGCATCTTAGCTGTGGAGGGCAGTGTCACTGGCCCTCATATGTGGGATCTGAACCGGGGCCCTCTGGCGTCCCAAGCCAGCTCTTAACCATCGCGCCACTCGGCCAGCCCGCTGGATTGTTTTTTATTGTTGTATACTTGAGGTGTGGTAGACGAGGACTTTGAATCTAGTTCTGACCCCAAAGCCTGTGCGTACTTTTTCTGCTGCACCAGATGAACTCCGTTTTTCTGTAGATATGCCATGTAGAATCTTTCTTCCTTTTGATAAAATGTGGTCAGTTTCTTTGGAGTGGTGAAACCAAATACTTTAAGAAACACAGCTGCCTTCATGAACATGATTTTTTTAAACAAGGAATGCAGCAATTTGTCCAGGGGGCTTACACTCTCATGGAATTGATACCTTTTATTAGCCATCAGTTAGCCCATCGTTTCCAAATTATTAATTACATTTTCTCCAGGCTAATAAGAATCAAATATCACTGTCAATGCTATGGTGGTGTCATTTCATGAAGGTCACATGGCTCCTAAAGTGTGTCACAAAAGCCACTATCCTGCAGTTGAAGGAACAAGGGTTGTTAAGGACTTTATTCTCTTCTGTTTAAAGGTATGTCTTGACAGAGAGCGGTTCTGAACAGTCAGTTTTCATTTAGGTAGAGGACAGTTCAGTACCTAAAAACAAAGGGTGAAGGAAGATATGATTGGAATTTGACATTATAAAATGTGTGGGTAAGGTACACAAGTTTTATTCATCAGATTTCCCTATTCTAATAGAAGGTTTCACACAGCAGGCAGTGAGCTATCAAACTTTATAATCCTAGGAGATATTAAAGAAATGAAGGAACTTTAGAAGTGTCGATATTAAGAGCTTGTTCAAGAGTGCGAGCTCTGAGCAACAGTGGTTCGATGCCTGCCCCCGAGCTGAGCTGCCAACAGGTGGCAGGATGGCTCAGCTTAAAAAAAAAAAAAAGTGTCGATAAAGTCATAGGTGATAAATAAATCAAGGGGAATTATTAAGAGAAACTCGACACATTATGAGCTGGAAGGACCATGATTTTGACCTGATTCTGACCTGTCTTCAAAACAGTAGATGATCACCTCCATGTACAAAGCACCTCACTGGATGCTCTGGGAGAAAAGAAATAGAGCCTGCCCTGCAGGGGCTCACCAGCTAGTGGGAGAAGGTAGATGTGTACAGCAGTCACTACCACAAAGCAGGTTAAAGTGAGTCCTATGACAGAGGGGCAGAGAAGGTGGCATCTCTGGCGGTTTCTGGGTGAGCCTCGTAGAGGAGGTATGTCTTAGGACTTGAAAGATGAATAGAAGTTCAACAGCAAATAGGAGAGAAGGACTTTCCAGCCAGAGGAAAGCGCTTAAGCATTTCTCCAGAATTGGGAGAGTTGCTGACGTCCTCTGAGAAAGGTGAGTGCTGCGAATGGATGTGGCTTGAGCAGGTAGTGTGAAAGGCCAGACTGAAAAGGTCTGTAAGCATCTGATTTGGAAGGGCCTGAAGGCCAAATAGTTTCTACTGATTCTGCTGAGAGTGAAAAACCAACACAGGTTTTAGAACAGAGGATGGATATAATCAGAACTCCGTTTTTCTGAAGTTTAGTGTTAAGCAGAATGGAAACGGAAGAGGAAGGTGGACAGTTGGGAGTTTGTTGTTGTAGACCAGGCCACAAGTAAGCGTTGTGGGCCTCGGCCAGATGAGAGGAGTGGAAAGAGAAGAGACTTAGAATGCTTTTGAATAAAAAGTATTTTTTTAGTATAAAGCAATGGGAATATATAAATAATACAAAAATGTAGGCTCATTTAGAGGAATAAAATTAAAACCCCATAGGAAAAACTACCATCTAAACATTTTATCAATGATAGACTTTTATCAATTTTTTTTTAGGCCTAAGTAACTGATTAAAATTTTCATTCATAATAGGGTATAAAGTAACATTTTACTTCTCTAAGCTGTCTTGAATTTGCAGCAGGCTCCTTCCTGCAAGATGGTGGGAAATTCTCTCTTAGTCATTATAGGGGCTCCCTTCCTCTCTTGCTGTGGTATCTTCTGAGTCCCATGATTCTTTACCCCCTGACGTCAAGACTTAGTATTTGGGTTGTTTGAGGGCTTTATATCTTCAGGTCAACTGATTTGGGACCTTAGTTACATCATCAAAATCCCTTCACAGTAGTACCTTGATTAGTGTTTGAATAATGGGGAGAATGTGTGTGTACACCAAGGACCCAGAATCTTGGGGCCACTTTAGGATTCTGCCTACCACACACCCTCTGGAAAGATGGTACCACCCCTGGTTGGAGGTACCATCTTGCTTTCTTTCATGCCTTTAATCTGTAAATCTCACAGAAGGGTTCTGAAAATGGCATCTCATTTCACTGCCTGCCTTTCTAGCTGGGCTTTTCTCTGCTCATGACTCTAGTAGTGGAATGAAGGATGCATAATAAACACTTTTTAGCCTCCAGTGAGAGTACTCTGGCTTCTTGTCCCCAGTATTACATATGACGTGTTTCTTGAGGGTGTGCAAGTGTGAGAAACCCATTAATAAGACCGGTAAGAGTGAGGAAGGGAATTTCTGTTTACCATTTGTGATTTGTGAGTATAGCAGCTTGTAGAAAATGGATTCTGTCTTGATAGTCTCTAGAAATAACTTAGGGCATTTAATAACCAAACAGTGGCACAAACTGTTTCAGATAATGCCCTGAGAATGCAACAGAATTTGAATTTGTCCAAATTCAAATTTAGGGCTATAACTGTCATGATTAAAATCAGCCTCGTGCTTCAGCCTGAATGCACATTTGAGTTGGTGTGGTCTCTTGGGAATTAGACATTGGATCCTGAAAAGATGGTGTTTTCTAGGAAATCGGAGTCCTAGAAAACTAGTGAAACGTGCTAGAAATCTCAGATTAAATGGGAACTGGGCATACCAGTAAGAAGAATATGACTGGATTCAGCAGGGGTGGTGTTTGAATATTACCACCACCTTTGGTTGGGAGGAGGAACCTATGCCCTTTGGAAGGGCATGGGTGGTGTGTGTGTGTGTGTGTGTGTGTGTGTGTGTGTGTGTGTGTGTATGTGTAAAAAATCCCAGGTTAGGTTTTGCTTGGAAGGGGCTCTGTTTGCTCCAAGCTAGTCACATTCTTCAAGGGCTCCAGGACTTCTGTTGCCTCTATTTAGAATATGCCAGCTTGGTTGTGTGTAGTTCTGGTGTTGGGGTGAACACTTGTGAATGTGAAGGTGAATATGAGATTTGGATGAGAACTAGAAGAGGGTAAAAGTATCTGTAGAGAACTAATGATAACATGCCAGCTGGGAACTCCCTGGGCCATGGGAAGAGGAAGACCCCAAAGGGACTGACTACCTGCCTGTCTTCTCCCACCTGCGCTGGCTTTCCTGGCAGAACTGAATCTGTGTTCTCTCTCACAGGCAACTGCAATGTCTGTGGACTGTCTGGGGCAGCATGCGGTGCTTTCTGGGTAAGTGAGCTTACGATGACTTCTGGGAACAAATTGCAAATCGGAGGTTTCTGGGAAATTGGAAAGTACTCTTATATTAAAGGGTTACAGTCATAGGGTTTAGCTCCGCTGTCCTAGTGACTTCAGGGGTACTTGTAGAGATTATTAGCAGTTTATTTTTGTCTGCCCTACAGGTAAGCAATAAAATTCCTTTGAAATTTTAGTGAGTGGTAGTTTGGTCTTGAAATTGCAATTATTTTTGTTTACCGCACAGACTTTTCATAAAGCTGCTGTCTGGTGTGGTCTAACAGGTAGTTAGTTACTAGGATTGAGGGGATACAGGTTCTCGTTTGGCAATGCCATTAATTATGAGCCCCGGGATATTTATTCGGTTGGCCTCCCTGGACTTCAGTTTTCTCATAAAGGAATTTGATTTCATCATGAAGAAATTGAACTACATGATTTCTATAGTGTCTTCTGGCTCAAAATTTTTAGGATTCTGGCAATTAAGGATCATCCCTGCGTTGCTGATCACCCTAACATTGTACCAGTATGATAACATGTAATGGTCAGAGTCCCATCTTCCCTTTAATATTGCTTTAGATTACTACCCCTACTTCTCAAATTCAGTATTTTCATTAACTTAATTGTTTATGAACCCATTTATAAATCAATGAGGTATTTTCTATTAACTTCATTATTTTATTTTGAAGTCATGTTTTAATTTACCTTAAAACAAGCACATACCAAACATTTAAATAATTAGAAAGGATATACAATGGAAAGCCAGTTTCCCTCCACCCCTCTCCCCAAAGACAATTATTGATACCATTTCCTTGTGTCACACTGGGTGCGTGGATAAGGAAAAATCGGTATGTCTCTTTTCTGCCCCCTCCCTACTTACTTTTTTTTTTTAAACAGCTATTTATTTATTTATTTATTTATTTATTTATCTGTTTATTTATTTATTTTTTAGCTGAGCCATCCTGCTACCTGTTGGCAGCTCAGCGGCTGCTCAGCTCGGGCTGGACTTGAACCGCTGTTGCTCAGAGCTCAAACTCTTGAGTGAGCTCTTAACCAACTGAGCCACTCGGCTGGCCCTTATTTTTTATCATGATCTTGAAGTTCACCATTTCATTTTCTTATATTGAACTTTAAAAATATGTGTAGTAAAGTGTATGCATAAAAGAACAGCTCAGATAAATTTACAGATATATACACCATGTGGTCACCATTCAGATTAAAATACAGAATAATTTTTAGCACCTTGGAAGACCCTTTCAGTCTGGAAACCTGTGTCTTTTAATTTTTTTTTACATTAATTAGCATTTATTTGATGCTGAATTTACTCCCAGGCCATAAGTTTTGTTTCTTCAGTTTCTTCTGGAATATCTTTTTCTTCTGTACCACCTCTTCTCCTGGCTTAGGCACAATCTGCTCTTTTTCAGTTAGGATCATCTCAGTGTGGCAGGGAGAGCTCATGTAGGGTTAATTCGCCCATGAGCATTGTAGGTTGGTTCTGTGAAGCATCTTGGGAGCTTTGTTCACCTGGCTGTGCTCAGTGGCCAGAGAATCTACATCTAAGCTCTTAAGTTCAGCATTATTCTCTGCATTTTTAAGTATGTGCAGCAAAAATTCAGCGCTCTTTTTGGGCCACCGACCGTGCGTTCAGCCCCACTGTTTGGCCTGGGCACACCTACCAACTCCACCATTATAAGGATAGAATGGCACACATTACTTCTTAAAGTGACATCCTTCAGATACTTGGTGGCTTTTCAGATATGCATACCCTCGGTCACCTGGGCAGTTTCACCAGCATTCTTAAAGTGAACACGAAGATTTGAACCTCTTTTTTATTTTTTTCATGTTAAACAACATTTTGTTCAAAGCATTAGGAAAATTACATTCAAAACACAGAAATAATCAGACTATAACAATGCTGCATAGATAGTGGTATAGAAGTTCCCTGACGCTTAGTGACTTCTTCCTAATTAAAACTTCAATTTTTAAGTCACCAGGTAGAAAATGGTAGAGGCATTATTTTGTCTCTCTGAGGCTGAAAAGATGGCTTTCATGAGAGAATTGACACCATTTAAACAACAAGGATTAGATTATTCCCAATTTAATTATATTCCCTTCTTGTTATTTCCCAGAGATGAAAATTTAAAATGTAAGGATTACTAGATGGAAATAGGAGGTAAATTACCTGTAAGGAGATATCCTGTTCAGTGCCTGCTACAATCAGACAAAACTGAATTAAGTTTTAAAAATTACAACCATACTATCATGCTTAACTAAAATTGTCAATATGAATACTTTTCTTACATAACACATTATATATATATATATATATATATATATATATATATGTATATATATACAAGAAAAAAAATGACTTGTTTCCAATCCTTTGACCTTCAGTTAAAAAAAAAGCCATAACCTAGTGATTTACACATGTAATCTGGCAATTTGGGCTTTTTCCCCGCGTTACAAAAAATAACTAATTGTACTTCATCCAGCAAATCCCATGTATCTATAACTCCTATTTTAGCATTTTCTCTGGTGGCATTTTTGTTTATAGTGATCTAACTTGACCACCACCAATGCTCTCTCAACTGTCAGAGTTGACTCTGGGGGCAACACAGTAAAAGGATGACCCTAGGGGCTGGGCTTATGACTCAGAACTGGGGTCTAGGACCCGAGACTGCACACACTATCACGTGGGAACTTGGGGAACTTTCTCTGTTACCAACGGGGCAGTGACCGCCATGTTCCTGGCGCCAAATCCGCAATGGTACAGAGCCTGAAGATTTGAACTTTTTGATTGGCAAAGTTCTGTGGGATTTTCTGGGTCAAGTGGATAGTGAACCGTTTTCAGAGGTCACTTCAGGCCACTTACGGGAAGAGTGGAAATCTGTTATCTTTTAGTTTGAAGAAATTTTCCTGCATTATGTCTTTGATAACACCCTTCTCCCCATTTCCTCTTCTCATGCTTTCTGGAGCTGCTGTTTGGTCGTGTTGAATATCCTGTATGGATTCTCTTTTGGTCTTTTTGTTTTGCATTCTGGTAGTTGTCTTTAACTTCCAACCCTTCTATCAGATTTCTTTATTTAAATTATTTTAGTTTCTAAGAGCTCTTTCTGGCTCTCTGTTCTTTATATTGTCTTCTTTTGCCTCTCTGAGAATATTAGTTCTAGGTTTTTTTCTTTGCTCTGTGCCAACCCCATTTCCTTTTTCTTTCTTTTGATAATGTTGGTCTTTCCTCTGAGGCTCCTGGGCTGTGTGTTAATGTTAGAGTGATTGGAATCTTTGTTCACATGGGCGGTGGTGGGGTTCACTGTAGGGAAATCAGGTGGGAACCAGGCCCTCTTGTTGGAGGGTTTTGTTATTTGTTTGTTTGCCTTTTCTTTTTCTTGAGCTGGTCATTTCTTCCTGAGAAGAATCCTCCTGTCAGTGGTCACTGTCTGAAGACTAAAAGCTAAGTTTGTGAGTGTTGAGGAGGTTGAGTAGGGAGAGAGGCCTAAGGGTCTTACGTTGCACTTCACACCCTGCTCTGAACACAGCCCCTCTCACTTACTCTCTGCTGTGCCTCTTGTCTCAAGCCCGGGCTTCTCTGGAGTAATTTCTCTAAAGCACATCACCCACCCTCCACCTGAGTGAAGAAGAGGTGGAGAGGCGGTTACCTGGTTCTGTGAAGCGAGCTTAAACCACTCTCCTTAGTATTCTTTCAAACAATTCTCCTTGTTTGGTTGTGCTGTGTTCTACTTTCGGTTCTCCAGCCCTCTCTCTCTTCCCCTTACCGGTAGCCTGAAGCCTCCAGCTCCTGAGTAGTCCTGGGTTCCGCCGCGTGAATCGCCTTGCTTCTCACTCACATCTGCAGGCACTTGGGCATTAGCTTTCTTTACTCATTGTTCACATGCTTGTCCTCTCCCATTTCTTTGTCTGTGTGGGTTCCTGTCTTTTATGTTCTTACTCTTATTTTACCTTCGGAGGGGAGTGAAGATAAAAACCCTTACGTTCAATCAGGCATCTTTTTCCTGAAGTGCTCCTTTTCTGTTCTGTATTTGCTCTGGAATGTCTGTGAACTCCCCTGTTGACACACACCCCATCTGTATAGCTCTCAGCCTTTTCCTGTTTTTTGTTCTAATGGCAAGATGTCAGCCAGCCTGCCACAGGATCAGGTGATTCCTTCAGAGGAGGTCAGAGAGTCTACATCTTTGTTCAGCAGCAACTTGCTTAGAAGTCCCAGTTCTGTGAATTTGTGTCTTACTTAGGTGGTCTTCTCTTTTTTTTTAGCTGAGTCATCCTGCCACCTGTTGGCAGCTCAGTGGCAGTTCAGCTCGGGCCGTGAATTGAACCGGTGACCCTGTTGCTCAGAGCTCACACTCTTGAATGAGCTCTTAACCAACTGAGCCACTCGGCCGGCCCTAGGTGTTCTTCTTTCTTAACCATCTCTCCTAGGGTTTCTGCTAGAGTTTTCCATACCATTTTAACTTTCCATTTCTTATCTTCTCTGAGCAGGGACTATTAATCTTTTTCTTCATTATTGAACCCACTTATCCTCATTGATATGGGGTATTCTCTAACAATGAATCGAGAGCTGATGGCTGCGGAGATGTTGATTCACACACCAAAGATTTTTACTTAAAAAAAAAGGAAAATAGGTGAACACAGAGCATCCCTGTTTTCAGATCCTTTATATTGATTGGCACCTTCATCATTATTGCGCTTAATACGTTATTTTCACTCTTATATTTTTGGTTATCATTTGCCCTCTTGCTAGACTTAATTTAGTTCCCTTTCTAGTTAGTTGACTTCCAAGGGAATTTCAGATTTTCCACAGGATGTTTGGCTAAGCTATAAGTGATGTGTTTAACACACATTTATTGATTGCAAAGCACTGTTCCTAGTGATGCTGGACATACAGAGATATTTGAGACTTGATCCATACTCCATACACTCATTTGGTTCGGGACGTTCTGCTTAGAGATAAATGCTGCAGTTGAAATGCAAACTGCGTATTAGGAGTAATGTAGAAGCAGTGACTGTTGTTAATTGTGGGATTGGAAGAGGCTGGGCAAGGTGCTGGGTTGGAGCTGAGTGCGGTGGGAAGAGGTCAGACTTTCATGGGTATGGTTAGGGAAGACCATCTCTAGAGGTAGACTCTCACAGGGACATGGCTCCTGCTTGCCTAACAGCCACCTTGAGTTACCCTTGTCATTTGTATGTCTTTCAGAGTAGATAAACGTTCATGTGTCTCTGGGGAGTTTTTGAGCACTGCTTGCAAACTGTATGTAATTCTAAATGTGCTGTTGTATCTCAATGCTAATGCTATTATACTGTCATAAATGTTGATGTTGTTCTCCTAGCCGCCGATTCCTATACATCGTTAATCTAGATGCCCCTTTCGAAGGTCACCGAAAGATCTCTCGCCAGAGCAAATGGGACATTGGAGCTGTGCAGTGGAATCCTCATGATGGCTTCGCACACTATTTTGCAGCTTCGGTGAGAAGGCTTTTAAACATGTGATCTGGGGCTGGCAGGTATATGTCTTATGTAGAAAAGAGAGTGTATTTCCAAGGCGGAAAAAAGATGGGGATGGTTCTAAAAGGAAAATAGAGGCAAATTACAGATGAACAAAAGATGTATCTGAAAAGATTTTGCTGTACCATAGGTGTCAGACCTTGTGTTTCTAAGGATTGAATCCAGATTTTGAAAGAGACACAGGTAGTTGCCTCCATTTATGTATGTGATGAGAACCTGTTTTCATTAGCAGTACTGTAACTAGACGGTGACCCTGAAAGACATTCTACAGGGGAAACTAGTGAGCTGGTCTGGGCTTGACCTTCATTGCTTTCTGAAGGATTAGAAGATCCCATACACTCTTCCACTCAAAGGAAGGGTTTCTTTTTTCATTGGGAATCGTTAGATTAGTTAACACCATGAAAATTTGTGTCTGTTTATCTGTGATTTTTTCTAGGGAAAAGGTGCATACATTTTATTAGGTTTTCCAAGGGATTCTTGGCTGAAAAAAGATTCTGGGGAGATTATTTCTGGTGTCTTTCACTAGATTCTCTACGAGCATTCTGTTCTCCTAGAACAAGTATGTAGAGATCTCAACCTCTGGCTCCTTTTGCGCTGGGCCAGAAGGATAGTATTTAAAGGAACTCTTCTTATTGTCCAGGGGATGTGGCCATTTACAGTGCTGTCTGGGACTCTTCTTATCAGGGATGACAGTCTGTGAGAGGAAAGCACCTGAGAAAAGAAAGAAGGGCGACACTGTCAGCTTTAGAAGGAACCAAAAGTTGCCCTTCCCCATCATTTCCAAAATAGGATCTGACTGTTTTACTTTAATCATGGATGTGTGGGGTTCAAATGGTTTGGAAGAGTGCTCTGAATGAGAAGGGGCAGTCAGTCTGCTGCCTTCCTATTCTCCACTTCTTTCCTATGTGTTAGGAAGAATGCTCTTTTCATTGGCTTATGCCTTGATGCCTTTTAGTTCCCCGCTCATGCTCAGCTCTTAATCATTTTGGTTCAGGGTTTTTCAACCTTGGCACTATTGACAAGTTAGGCCAGATAATTCTTTGAGGCAGGGGCTGTCCTGTGCCGCAGCATTTAGTAGCATCCCTGGCCCCTGCCTACTAGATTCCTATAACATCCTCCTTTCACCACCTTCATAGTGACAACCCACAATGACTCTAGACATTGTTAAATGTCCGCTGGGAAGGAAAATCGCCCCTGACTGGGAAACAGCAATTTAGGCTGACCCCTTAGTACTCGGTCCAAGTGGATTAACACTGCATTCATTTAGGAGTGGCAAGGAAGACAGCCTTTTTTAAAAAAGACAATCATTTAAAAGTGAAAATTTAGGGCCGGCCAAGTGGCTCAGTTGGTTAAGAGCTCGCTCAAGAGTGTGAGCTCGGGGCCGGCCGAGTGGCGCGATGGTTGAGAGCTCGCTTGGGATGCCAGAGGGCCCCGGTTCGGATCCCACATGTGAGGGCCAGTGACGCTGCCCTCCACAGCTAGGATGCTGAACGGCTGCTCAACCTGGAGCTGGGCTGCCGTGGGTCGCCGGCGACGGCGTGGGCTGCAGTCCCTGTGGCAAGTCCCTGTGGCAGTGGGTT